TGCTTTGCAAATACTCTGTATATTGGGCATCTAGATGTATTTAAATGTGTGTGTTTAGTTCAGGTAGTTATTAGGAATGCGTTTTTAATTTCGTTAGAAATTGTTTATTTCTGTTCTGTGATTATTTTGACGGTGCTAGTGACAAGTTTCTTTGCTTTTTGTATTGTTCTGTATGCTCACATATGCATGGCATAAATTTTAGAGCAGCTGGGATCTTGTTGGCATCACTTGCATTGTGAGGAAAAGAAGTCTCTGGTAAGTACTTTTTTGTATATGGATAAATGTCCAGGTGGACTTGATAATTTGGCCTGAACACACACACTCAAATATGTAAGATCTATGAAAGATAGAATTTTTCTTTACCCACCTTTAGTTGGGGTGGAAATCCCTTTCTTTACCTTTGCATAAAAGGTCACATCCTTTTCTTCATTTTCATATGTATTTACTTACCCACACTGAGCTGTTGAGCTTCCCTTGAGCTGCCCTATTTACCATGATTGTGTGAATCTTGATCAGGGCTGGATGGGTGATCCCAGTTGGAGCTTGAGAATATTTGTGATTCGCCTGTTCAACATGTAGATTAGGTGGGTTCAGCATGACACAGAAGTTCTTGCCTGGTTGGGCAAGAACCCTGTGTCTGAGGAGACTTGGCTTTTCATTGATAGATCTCTGTCCTACTTGCTTGACTTACATAACATATATATGTTCTCTTGATTTGAGAACTTGATCCCTGGTTACTTTATATGCAGATAATGTACTATAGAAATGGTCTTGTTTTCTGAATCTTCTTTGTATATTTTATGCTGAAATGATTTGTTTGAGGTGCATATGTTGCCAGACATAACTCACAGTCTTTTCTAAATTGTGCTGCTGCCATGAGTGACAGTGATATGAAACTTCCTATGTTTTGTCAAAATAGTAGGTTGTCTTGCAATGGTGTTCTCATTTTTGGATGGCCCCTTCACTTCGACTGCTGAAATGTGATTGAGTAGAAGTGAATGGATATTACCAGGTCAGGGGCTGAATGAGGAGAGTTTGAGGATAGGTGAGTAGCTTGTGTCAGTCTAGGTTAAAAGAGGAAATGCGGGAGATCAAGTTGGAAAGGGCCCATCAAAAGGGAGCTGCAAAGACTTTGTGACCCAACATGGTGGTTATATGCATTAGGTGTCCTGGGAAAGCAGAAAGCTCAGTGATGTCAGTGGAGGAAATGGGCTCCAGACGCCAATGCAGATTCCCTCTTGGTTTAAAATATCTGGGGTTCTTAAGTAAAAACTGATTATCTCTGAAAACTAAATTTGGAGTGAGCCTGTTGGTGCTTCTTGACTCCATGTTAGAATTGGTTCTTGTTGTTGTACCTAATGTGTTCTTCAGCCCACCACATGATATTTGTGAAAACAAGGTGTTGGGAGTAGTTCTTTAGCTCAAGTCTTCTGGGTCTGAGTCAATTCTAGGAGGAAGGCATTTGAATACCAGCCAGTGTGTTGTGTCAGCACTATTCAAGAAGTGTGTGTCCACTTGTTAAAAAGAGAACTGGTCTGATCATTTAAAGTAAAAACCAAGTGATACCTTTCAGGGCAACCGTTTAACTTTCAGCATGGTCCCCTAACTGACTCCTGTCTGAAGAAGAGGCATTTTAAAAAAAAAAATAGTGTTTGTAGCATTTTGCTATCTGATCAGAGAGTCTCTTGTTTGTATTAAAACAAATTCTGGGATCAGTGTCTGGGTTAAGAAACAATTTTTGTTTTTAATATTTCACATTAAACAAACAAAAGTAATTATAATGTTAATAACAAACCTGCTAGAAGACAAAAGGAAAATCAGAAGAGCCCAGACAATAGTGTACAAACTCACTTTCTTCAAATGTCCCATAAGTACAGTGGCATGTCTCAAGATGCCTAGAAGTTAGGCTTTCTACACTTGTAGTTATTTATGAACAAAATAGAATGATCATTTATGTAACAGTTCTTGTACTTTAACAAATCTAGGTTAGTTCACAGTTGAAGTCAGTTCAAATTTCTTACAGGAAAGCTTTGCTTTTTGTGGCAACATTTTTATATAAGCTTGTGTGAATTCCTTTTTTATTTAATGATCTGAACACAGTATTTTTGCACAATTGTGACCATGTGTGGTGGTGTCACTATAACCAAAGTCTATGCACCAGCCCTTGTGCATTTATTGTTCCTTCTGATATTATGCATTTAAAATGTCCAAATCCAAACCTTTGTGACTTTCTTTGGAGGACCTGGCAGCACAGCATGCCCCCGTGACCTGCCCGCTGTGGTGTGACCAGTAGCAGGCTTCCTGCCCTGTGACGTCCTGAGTTGCTCTCAGGCAGGGGATTACATTATGAAAACTAACCATGTAACATTAAACCTACCCTAGCAGAAAGAATATGTTTTATGTGAACCTGTACAGTAAATAAAGTGGAAATTATGAGTAATATTTTGACTAGTTTTTCTTAGCAAAATTGACACAGATCAAAAGTAGCTTCCTTGGGGCTGAGGATGTGGCTCAAGCGGTAGCGCGCTCACCTGGCATGCGTGTGGCCCGGGTTCGATCCTCAGCACCTCATACCAACAAAAAGATGCTGTGTCCGCCGAGAACTAAAAAATTTTAAAAAATTAAAAAAAAAAAAAAAGTAGCTTCCTTTCCTTCAAATTGTCCTGTCATTGTCTAAGGCTGTGCCATTAATATTCTGTAGGCCCTCTGAACCTCAGTCACTTGATGGCACCTTGGGGCACTGCAGTGATTTTGCAGGGTGAGCTTTTTATTTATATGTGGTGCTGAGGATCAAACCCAGTGCCTCACATGCTAGGCAAGTGCTCTACCACTGAGCCACAATCTCAGCTCAAGGGTGAGCTTTTTTATTTTATTTTTATTTTTTTAGTTTTAAGGACACAATGCCTTCATTTTATTTATTTTTATGTGGTGCTAAGTGAGCTAGGCAAGTGCTCTACCGCTGAGCTGCAACCCCAGCCCCCATCCCCAGGGTGATCTTTTTAGAAGGAAGCCATGGTGCCTTCTTGTTGATGCAAGACACTAAGTGTGCATAATAACTGCTGACTTCCTCTTCTCATCCTTCTTGAATCCTTTGGGCTCTGTAGTTACTTGCAAAGTTGAGGGAGGAATCTCTTTGCCAGAAAACTGTTAAGCTGGACGAGATAAAGGGACCCCAAAACCGGATTGCCCCCTGCCTCCCCAAGAAAGTAAGGTGATTTGGGCAGTGTGGGCATTTAATTGAATCTTACAGGTATCTCTACAGGGACAGTAGATGCCTCTGGGAAAGGGTCATGCTCAGTGACCACTAGGACCTGAAGTTCTGGGAAGGAAGAGGACCTGTGGGGGACAGTATAAGCCAACTTATCCTATCATCCTGTCATGGAGCATTAACTTTGGGTCCTAGAGCATATTCACAAGCAGAGCACAGCAGCACATACCTGTAATCCCAATGACTTGGAAAGCTGATGCAGAAGGACTTTACAGTCCAGGCCATACTTGGTAACAAAATATAAAAGGCTAGGGATGTAGTTTTGTGGTATAATACTCTTAGATTCAATCCCCAGCACCACAATAAATATATATTATACATATATACACATACACACACGTTTATGTGTGTATATATATATATATTTACATATATTTATAAATACATATATTTATGTATTTTTTAAATCAAAGTGAATTTTTAAAAAATGAATGGTAGAACAGACCATTCCAATAATTCTGAGAAGTTGACATTTGAAAGTCTAATCTTCCATATGTGTCTTTTCAGAGTCAGTTTCCTAACAGAAATCTTGTGCACCTTCATCAGAGTTCTATACAGATGGTCATAGTGAATGGTTTCTGAGGCTGTTCAGGGGACATGCTGGATGGCTCTGGCCTTCTCCATTCCATCTGCTCCTGTTCAGTTGCATGTGAACAAAACCCTTTGCACGAGTACTCTTCCCAGCTGAAATAAGTGACTTCACTGCCCAAGTAGTGAATGCCATTGATTTCCAAAAATGTTGAAGTCCTCGTATGATAAGTATATGACAGATTAGTTATAACAGGCTAAAACTAAGGTATAATAACTTAAATTTGGAGAATCTTACCAACAGCCAAATTCTATGAGGTTTCCCCCCACTTCCAAACTCTATACAATAAAATACTTGATCAAACCAAAGATTGCAGAGCCCTGCGGAGTTCGGGCTAGTATTATTTCACACAAAATGGTTGGAATGGTACCAGATCACCTCCTCAATGACTTTTTTTTTTTTTTTTTTAATTTTTAGTTTTAGGCGAGCGTGCTACCACTTGAGCCACATCGCAAGCCCAATAACCTTTATTTGACATCCTTTAGAAGCAACTTACATACCAGCATCCAGACACTGTCTTCTTAAATGCTTTGGACTGACATACTGAGTGGCCTTGTTTGTACTCAATGTGGCTATGCTTGGATTGACACAGAGAAGATGACTCCCTCCCTACAAAGTCTTCTGTAGGTTTTATTGAGTTCTGTGTTTTTACATATCCTATATCCTTCCAGGAAGGGGGTAAAGAAATTTGTGTAGTTAAAAGTCATCTCTAGGGGCTGGGGTTGAGGCTCAGTGGTAGAGTACTAGCATGCCTAGCATGTTTGAGGCACTGGGTTCGATTCTCAGCACCGCAGGTAAACAAATAAATAAATAAAGGTCCATCAATAACTAACAATTTTTTTAAAAAAAAGTCATCTCTGATATCTACTATAATCTATTGAAGAGCTAGTCAACAGGCAACCTTGTACTTATACCTTCCCTAGCAGGACACCAGCTGCTTTTATCTGAGCAACAGATAGTGTTTCCTCCTCAATTCTAAAGACTACTATGGAATAAAATATTAATTCTTAGACTACTACATAAAGGTTTACACATCCTGATTTCTCATTTGTGTAAGCAAATTATATTTGTGTCAGCTAAGAATCTTATGAATATTATTTCTATAGACCCTGTTATAATACAATACACTTAGAACTGCAGAACTACTTTAGCAAAGCAGACATTTATTAACACAACAATTTCATGTAGAACTTCTAAAGAAATTCAAGACAAGAATTCTTCCAGTAGGTAACAAAATAAACTATTTTAAATTCCTTTTCATCAAGATGACTTTATTCCATAAACAGTACATGGGCTGAGCAGGTTCAGTCTCCTTCTCCAATATTAAAAACGGTTGTATGACAGTCACTATTTTGATTCTGTAAACATAACTAGGATATGATGATGTGGTCATAACTGAGTTTGGAGAATTCAGTCTTGTGACCTTCAAGAGCAGGTGTGAAACAGCGCCTGAACACCCCAAGGTGACTTCACTAGTTACTTGAACATGTTAACACGAAATGAGCAGTGAGGAAGAAACCGTCCCTCAGTTTGTCATAGTGCAGCTCTGTCTTCATTGTAAGAACAAGGTACCTTTCTCTTGGAAAATCAAAATGTTTTCACAGTGAATTTAATAAATTAACATCAGGGGGAAAGCAAGTAGGAAATGAGAATTCTCCTTCAAAGTGCTCTTAAAATGAATGTTTAAGGATTACATGGGAAGCAAAGCATTTCACAAGCACACACCACACACCCAAGGCCCTGGAACCATAGGTCAGGAGTAGCAAATAACAACAGAATCCTCTTTTCATTGTGAATTTTTTCAAGCAATAAAATAAGTCCAGCATGAGACAGCCAAAGGAGCCTCTAAGGCAGTTAGGGGTTCTGTATGATCTGCTCATTAAGGCATAATCTGAGATGAATGTGCCAAGGCTTTTGGTCCCGTCCAGATTCTTGCATGCTCCTAAGGAAGCAGATTTGTGGCAATTGTTTCAATCTCCTGATGTGGAAACGAGGAAGTCTGGGTTTCTGGAAATTACAGAAATGGCAGAAAACCTAGCAAAAATACTAATACTCTGCATTCTAAGATCTGCCAGAGTCACCTTATTTTGCTATTTGTAAATAACTACCCAATGTTCTAGTGCTTTCTAAAGCCTCTTCCTTTTTTTTTTCACAACTCTGCAAAAAAATACTACAGTTGGCTCGACTCTTTGGTAGGATAGCTCTTACCTAATCCAGATTTTAGGAATGAAACTGAACAGCCACATTTCATTTCAAAAGTTGATTTTATGACAAACTCTCTTGCTCTATGTGTGCTATGAGTAGAGAGAGATATACAAAGTTTTGTGAGTGTTCAATTTGTCATTCCTTTTTTCGTGCCTACAGATAGAGGGTTGAGGAATAAATACAATAATCCATTTCTTCAGTCCCATTCAAGGGTCCCCAGAGCAAATCTGATTTGCTTCAACTCAACAAGGAAGAAACAGCTGAAAATAGTTGGTCCCAATTTTATTTCAGTGTAGAAAAATACCTCAAAAGAATCAAGAGAAGTAAACACACATGGAAGTATAAGGCAGGGTGAGCCCAGGAAGACCATAACAGTAATTTCATGAGCTGGATCTCTGTACTCTGCAATTATAACAAGCAGTGGTCTAAATATCAAGAGGATCAAGCATTAGGATGATTAGCGCATATAGCATACACCAGAATTAAGGGAGCTTATGTTAACTGTCTTGTCAACAAAGTGTAATCGAGATCATGCAGATCGGGATTTTTAAGGGAAAGCTTTTAAAAATGCTGTGATAAAGACGTGCAAGTTAGTAGAAGTTTGGGAATATCTGCAGAGGTCATTCTTGCCCGCATCTTTGCACACACTCATTTATTTTTCTTAGCCCCTGGCATCATCTGGAGTATAACTATCACACACAAAGACTGCTTGGCACACAACTTCAAGCTCCTACTCCATGTTGGTCAATGGGGGAAGCTGTGTGGACACTGAGTCTGTTTGTGGAGTCAGCTCACTAAGCTCACTGATGGTGGTGGCAAGCAGAGAGTCCTGGGACACCACTGGGTCCTCCACCTTGCAGACTATGTCAGCAGAACTGTTCTCAGGCACAGTAGGCACACCACCTTGGACTGTGGCCAGGTTGTGAAAATGGCCATTTTCTGCAAAAGACAGCAATTTATCTGGAAGTTTGGGTGATGCATATTCTTCATCAGGCTGCTCCATCTTATGTTCTTCATCATTCTTGGGTGAACCATCTACAATAACAAGGAAAGACTTCCATGGAGTATTCTTATCGTGTATCTACAAATCAAACACAAAACAAAAGTCACTTCATGTGTCTGTATATTTCCTGACTTACAGATACATTGTTAACAAGTACAAATCAAGATTCTCTCCAACTTAAAATTAGTTTCCCCTGCAGTGAAAAATCTTCTAACTGCAAAACACCTGCTTACCACCAGTGTCACTTGGATATTTGCCATGAACTCTGTTCACTCTATACTCACTGCAGAGAACACCTGAGCTGTTGCCGCCTCTAACCCTTACTGGGAAATGACGTCAGGTATTTCTGGCTGTTCAGGGCTATGTATCTAAGGACCAGCAGTGTTTTATTCTCAAATAGGCCATTCCATCTCTTACTGTGGTGTGCCTCCGGAGAGTGGACTTGTCAGTAAATGTCCGTCCACATGCATTACACATGAATGGCTTCTCTCCAGTGTGGATACGATGGTGGCGCTGGAGGGCGTTGAGCTGGGTGAACTGCTTCCCGCACTGGTCACAACAATAGGGCCGCTCCCCTGAGGCAGGAAAAGAACAAAACTATTGAGTGATCTCACCTTTTCACCTTCTGAAGTTAATTCTGAATACACTTCAGAAAAGTCTGTCTGCAGACCCCAGGAAAACCTCAACATTCCCACATATACAAAGCTAGTAATTCCGGGGCTAACCATAGACATGCCAACTGACTATAATATCAAGTTTATGCCAACACCAAAAACAGACCAGAATCCATTCCCACAGCTGTTATATCTTTAGAAATGACAATTATTTTCCACAGTAAAGAAATACAAAATTGCAAATCCCCTATTAACTGAATTTGTGTACGTTTGTATATATACACTAATAGATCATTATCCTTATTTATACTAAAATATGAATATCCATATTGAAATATTCATTCATGGGTAAGGTGCCTGCCCTTTCCAGTAAAAACTCCACACAGCAAAGGAACTTGGTTGTCCCCTATTTGCCCATGTAAGTTCTTCTACTTTCCAGTTTCTCAGAACCAGAAATTAGGGGAAAAAAAATGTTTGGAAGGATACTGGGGATTGAACTCAGGGGTACTTAATCAACGAACCACATCCCCAGCCTGTTTTATTTTTTGAAACAAGGTCTTACTAAATTGGTGAGGCTAGCCTTAAACTTGTGATCCTCCTGCCTCAGCCTCCTGAGTTGATGAGATTACAGGCATGTACCACAACACCCAGCTAAAAACTCAGTTTAAAAAAAAGAAAATGCTGTGACATAACAGAGTTTGGCCACTTTTCTCCTTAAGCTTTTCTAGTAAATCTAAAAAATTGCAGCTATTTTTCTTGCTGAACCAAACTCCCTTCCTTCCCTGGGACCCTGCAGCCATACCTGTATGGACTTTATTATGCTGGTAAAGTGAATTCCGCTGGGCAAAAGTCCTGAAACATACTTCACATTTAAAGGGTTTGGATCCAGTATGGATTCTATTGTGGTGTTTTAAGTACTCCTTAGAAGCAAAACTCTTGCCACACGTTTCACACATAAAAGGCCTTTCACCTATATGAAAAGACAAAATACAATTAGAAACAATACAGGCTTTCAAAATGCATGGGAATAGTAGGTCCACACTCAAAACCCTTGGTGGGCAGCATGTTACACTTTCTAATTAAAACCATTATAAAACATTTATTCACATAAGATGCTTGCTACTTGCTGAAAGTCAGTATAAAATACCCTTGGAAATCCAAGAAACATTCCACTAGACTGGTTAAAGAGTTACCATTCAGCCAGCTCACATTTTAAAATGTCATTCTAAACAAGAAAATAATTTCACAACTTCTTTTTGGAGGACTTTTTGGATTGTTTTCAAAGAAGCACTTTCTGTGTACTTTTATCAGAATAGGTCTGATAGAAAAGTTCCTCTCCTTTTAAGAGGAATTTTTTTGTGATAAAAGGAGAAGTTTACATGGATTTATAAATGTAACTTCTAGAGTAACAAGTGCAATTGACTGGACTGCAGGACAATAAAATCTTCAATACCATCTCATTTTTTGTAGTTTAAATTCTTTATTCTTACAACTTGTATTCATCTGTAGGTGTGCCCCTGATTTCACAAACATCCAAATAAAAGTATTGGCTTTAATAAAAGCTTAATATGAATAGTCACATCAAATGACCAATTCTAATTTATTCTTTTGATGTGTCCTGACACTGTCCCCACCCAGCTTCCATTAGACACCAGTTCTACTCATTCTACATCATGAAATACCTCATCTCTGTCTTGCATGCATCTGAACTTGAGGCCTGTATGACAGTGCTTAGAAGTGAAACATGTAAGCCAGGAAGGAACTGGATTACTAGAGTAACTATGGTACACAACAGTTAGATTCTGTAAACATTTGTGTAGTTTACAAAATTCTGAACCTCTTCGTCACTGTTAAACCAGAATAAAGCCAATTTGAACTTTCTCCTTCATATGATAAAATCATATCAAAAAGACTTTGGAAAATAGGAGATTATCCTACCACCTAATTCAACAATTTATCATATTGTAATTTATTTTCTTCTTTTATGTGCAGGTTTTCAATATAGTTGGGAGAAACTGAGTTTATTAACTGAGCATTTTGAAATTCAACAACCAAGTCCATTAGGTTTTTTTTTTCATGCCATTCAGAGTCCTTATTCTGAATGGTCAAGTTATGAGGCAAGGAATGGATTCACCAGAATTTACTGAACCATTTCCTTACATTAATTTGGACAATCAGGTTGTTTCCAATTCTATGTTATTAAAAAGTAGCAAGAGCAACCATAACAGCATATAGCTTTTTTCATATGTTAAGCAATTTATTCATGCAGATTCTGGGAAATGGAATTTTAGACTATGCCACCAGTAAGAACTGTTTTATACCTCTCAACATCTAAGACCGATATGCCAGATCCTATTTCCTGGTGGTATAGAGGCCATGGCCACAAGCACATGAGCACTGCAGACAACAGGTGCATTTTGATTCATTTTTTACAGTAAGATGGAAAAACTATAGTGTGGCTTTAACCTGGACCACTTTGGTAGATGCCAACTTCTAATCAATTGCAGTTCCCTTCTACAGCTAGGAAAGACATTCAATCACAACAGCATGGGTATTTACCTGTGTGGCACCTTTTATGATAAATCAGCATGTGGTTCTGAGTGAATCTTGCACCACATTCATCACAGACAAAAGGTTTTTCCCCTGTATGAATTCTGAAAGTACAACATTCAGATGATAACTTAGGGTGTATTTCAAAGCTCACTTTGCAATACAATTTCCACTCTATCCTGCAAAAATCGTTTTCTCCAAGAGACCTGATAAGAATAACCTAAAGGAAAGGTCAAGAACCCATATCGCCATCCCAAAATAAATGCAGTTTCTGTGGAAGGCCAATAGATCAACACATTTGAGTTCACATCCCAATGTGGAATCACTGAATATCATCCACGTCATGCTATAATTCAAGAGCATGGGGAGCCCACACCTTGGTGTATATTTTAGAACACTAAAGAGTGTCCTCTAATATTGATAAAGCTTCCTCATTCAGAATCCGCCACAAGCACCTTAGGAACTGTTGCTGACAAAATACCACATGACCAGAAATTTTACCATTATTTCCGAATATGACATGACCAGTCTCAAAAGGAGAGCTGTTCTCAAACTGCTTGAAGGAACCTATTTTCTGAGGAGCATACATGAGCATTTTAATTTTACAACCAGCATGATGAAGCAATCAACCATACTTTACTGAGAACTTCTTAAACAATTATTTAAGAGTAAAAGATGACAAATGTCATGTCACCACCCCAAGACTGGCCTAGGTTTGAAGTCAGACCTAAAACAGGTTAGAAAATTTAACTGCTTGCCTAGATTTTGAAAGTATACATTAACTATAAGAAAACTTATTTAAATACTGACCACCTCCCACCTAGAGTTCAAAAACAAACAGGAAACATGGTCTGCCCTGATGCTGGAGTTTAACCATAAAGCACATTTTCCAAGCCCAATGAACTTAATAAGACAAAGAAGAGTTCTGAAGAGATCATCTAACTGAGCTCTTTAATTGGATTGTGGGACTCAGCTGGTCATAGAACCCAGGTTTCAAATGAAGTGTCAGGGAAAGCCCATAAGGGTAATTAGCCCCAACTCTTCAAGTATGAAGGGGACTATAACCATCACAGGTAGGCAGCACATGCCAGGTGAGACTTCCAGGTGGGGGTTGTCAATGTCCCTTGCAGCAGTAGGGCAGCTCTATTCTGTGTCCAGGATTCTGTGCCTGGACATGTCAAGGCTGACAGTGGAGGGTCTCCACTGGCTCAAGGGCCTTGTGAGTTGAGGAGCCATCTCTCTGAGTCTCTCTGCCTCCAAAGAGAATTCTAAACTTTCTCACACCAGTCTCCCCATTCTTAGAGGAAACCAAATAAGAAATGAACAATCCAGACAGTCACACCACACTGGTCCAAATCCCAGAACCATCTCAGTTTCCCAACACTCATTTCAAGAATGGTTAAGTCCCCACAAACCAGTCAGTCCTGCCAGGGGTGCTGGCCCTGGGCGGCCAAGTGGTCGGGTGCCACCTACCTCATGTGGGTCTTGAGCGCTGAAGGCTGCGAGAACTTGGCACCACACTCTGTGCAGCTATAGGGCCTGTCGCCCGTGTGTGTCCGCTCATGCAGCCTCAGTGCCGTCTTGGAGCTCAGGCCCTTGCCACACTGGACACAGCGGTGACGCTCACCACCACCCTCGTGCACCTGAACCACGTGCCGCTTTACATCCTTCTTGCGCTTGAACTTCTTCCCACATAGCTCGCAGGGAAAGTGGCGCTCGCTGCTGTGCACATGGCGCTGATGGCTCTTCAGGTTGCAGCGGTTGGCAAAGGTTTGGCAGCAGGTGTCACAGCGGTACACCACCTCAGTGGCTACGCCATGGTGGTGCTTGATGTGCTTCAGGAAGCTCTTCTCATACAGAAACGCCTTCTCACAGATAGAGCACTGAAAGTTGCTCTTCTTTTTCTTCTCTAACTCTTCTCCCTCTCCCTCTTCCTCCTCTTCCTCCTCCTCCCCAGCTGCTTTTGGCAGCACTTCCTCCAACTCCACACCAGTACTATCACCCTGGATTTTTGCAACTGGCTCCATCTCTGGTTCCACACTGTCTGGGCTTTGGTCCTGGGAGAAAGTATAATTCTCAGCTTCATCCTCAGCACTTTTTTGCTGCTCCCGGAGTCTTCTTGTGTACTTCTTTTTAGGGATTTCCACAAATACCTTTCTTCCAGCCAGCCTTCCACTAGCTCTTCTGATTTTAGGGTAAGGAGGCTTAGCTACATCTTTCTTTTTGTCTAGTTTCTCCTTGGACTTCCTCAGTGGCATATCAGGTGACATGCCATTGCTGATTCTCTCCGCTGGGGAATCTGGAGAATCCACAAGGCCATTGGAGTGGGCACCATCAAGGCCTGTACTTGCCCTAGAGTCTGAAGCAACACCTACCTGGGAGCCATTGCTCACCTCAGCTTCCTGAGATTCAGAGAAATTCTGCAATTCCAAAAGGACTGACTCTAACATCTGTTTCTTTAACTGGAAACAAGTTTCTGAAAGGTCCAAACATTTTAGCTTTTCAGCCATTTCCAGCATCCGCTGTACGCGATCTTCTTCCACCTGTACCTTGGCAGTGTAGACAAACTCCAGAAATGAAGCAAAGTCAACAACCTGTACTTCATTTAAATAGACATTAGTTCTGGTACCATCCTCACTCTTCTCATTAAGAAACATTTCCTTAAAAAACTTGCTGGTGGCTGCCAGCACTGCTTTATGGGCCACAAAGTCTTCCCGGACACCTTGATACTCCACACTGACTGTGACGTCACACAGGTGACCCAGAAGGCGGAGCTCATGCATTTCATGAAGAAGGTTAAACGGTGAGGATTTGGATTCCAGCAGAACTGCACCACTTTCCATCTTTCCAAAAACAGCTTTGAAAACAAAAGCAAGAATTATTTTATGCATGAGCAACCACTGGGGTAAAAGGACTAGAGATTATAAGGATTATTTCAGTTCTTTAGAGGATATACACTGATTAACATCATAGCTTCTCGTTTTTTGAAGTGAACTTCCTGATGCACTTTTGTAAGATAACATTTGCATGAAAAGCAAACTGCCAAGGGCTGAGGTTGTGGCTCAACATGTAAGGCACTGGGTTTGATCCTCAGCACCACATAAAAATAAATAAAATAAATGTACTATGTCCAACCACAACTTAAATAAATAAATAAATAGATAGATACATAGATAGATAAATAAATAAAAGAGAATTGCCAAGATTTTCCCCAATGATTGAAGTCATAACTAGTGGAATGCACTAAAGCAGTAATTTGATTATCAAGATCAATGAAACACATGGCTGCCACTGTTTTAAGAGCAAACCTTACAGAAACACTGCCACTAGAAACAATCATCCAAATAAAGCACTACTTTCCAGGGGGAAAACTTCCTGGAAAAGTAGTTTACAATTTCATCCCCACTTCCAACACCCCTAAACACCTGTTAATTTGTATTACCATTACTCTGCTAAAATAATGCAAGTTCCATAGCTTTTACTGTATTACCTTAAGTAAGTAACTTAACCTCTGTAGCTTAATCTCCTCCTCTGTAGAAGGCTCACAGGTTACTGTAAATCTTCAATGAATGCAGTATGTTAAGTCATTACAGCTGTGCCTGGAATTTGCTGGCTAGTTATTGAGGGTTCCTATGTGCAGACAAAGGTAACACTATGATCCCCATTTCACAGATGAGTAACTGACTAGTTGGTCTGGACTTGAACCTGGGCCCAATGGGACTCTGGACCCAAATACAACTGCTCAAAACACAGTCTCACCAAATAAAATTTTAAAAATTAAAAAAAAAAACTACTTTTACCCTCTTTCCACCATAGCAATATGCAGTCCCAAGCCTCCATGAGACCCCACCCAATCTTCATTTCTTCTGCTACCAGCTCTCTTTCCAGACTCCTTAAATATGTGCTTTCTCCTCAAGGTTCAGCCCAATCTTCTGCTCTTAAATCTACTTCTTCCTCCAAGTTCACTTTGGTCCCTAGGTCTCCATCACCCAAGGACCCCACACCTTCCTTCTAATCTTTCACTTAGATGTCATCTCATATTCAAAATGTTTAAAGCAGGACTTGTCACTGTCTCTGAAAAAACAGTCCCACCGTTCTCCTGTCCCATCAGTGATACTGCTACCCACAGCCCCCAGCCCCCAAAACGTGGTAAAGACCACCCTTTAAGCGTGCAAATGTAAAAACCAGAACCTAGGAGGTTTGTGCAATGTCACCTGAAGGAGACTCTATAGTAAACTGAGCATACATAGGAAGCCTAAGGAAAGGACATGCTGGGCTAAGAACCCAGTATGTCAAAAGGTCTGGCATTGACCCCAACACGAGCCTGAGGAGAAAAGGCTGCAGCCGGCTCTATTAGCCTATGCCCATGTCACCAGACCTGACTTCCCCAAAACTCTTGTCAAAAGGTCCACAAAAGAACCTGAGTCCTTACAGGCAGCCTGGCAGCAACTTCTCGATTAACAAGGTGTTTTGAGCCCTATTTCCTAATTTACTTGCGTAATAAAGAGTAGGTACTGGCCATGCATGGCCAGAGACTATCTGCGGCCTAGTGACAGCTGAGTGTCCCACTGCAATTCATTGGTATTCTGGCCACTTCCCAGTGCAGGAGCATATGACTCAACGCCAGTAAGCAGACCCCCGAGTCCACAGGGAACGGCCTAGCCCCGGGAGACCCAGCTCTCCGCAGCTGGTCCACAGAATACTGGTTCTCCAGGTAGACACAAAGTCGGGAGACAAGAAGCGGGGGTCGCCCTCTACGCTCAGACCGCGTCCACCCCCACGCTGCCAAAGCAACCACCACAGCCACCTCGCTGCCCTAGGCGCCCTGAACTCCCCGGGCCGATCAAAAAGACCACACGGAGAATAAACCACTGCAACCAGGGTCGAGCCCCTCCCCCGACAGACGTGCGCCTTCCAACGCACGCATCTGGGGCCGCGTGGATCCGGCCTGTCCCTCAGCCCCAGGCCGCCCCTATCCCGCTCCCGCATCCCCGAGGCCTGCTACTTCTCCGGACTGCAGAGGCGCAGACAGGCGAGAGGCGGTGGCAGACGGAGAGGGTCCGGCCTGGACCCTGCAGACTATACACTCACCTGCCTACCGGCGCCCGCAACACGGCCACTGTTGGCTGGAACAGGCCCGTAGGGACAGCCTGCCCGGCTGGGCGGGGCGCACCCCCCCCACACACACACACACACACACACACGCACACACACACTGGCGCGGGAGCCGCTGATTGGCTGTGGTGAGGGCTCTTCCCCGCCCCTAACAGACCTCACCTCCTAGCAGGAGGGGGAAAAGCAGTGCGCACGCACGTCTGGCTGCGGTGCCCGTCGGATCTAGCTACGTGATCCGACGTACGCTGGGGCGGAGCGACTGACTGGCCGCGCTGGATGACGTCACCTGCGGCGAGTCAAAACCTGCGCCTTCCCTGTAGGAACTGTAAGTGCTCTGGGCCCCAAGGGCCGAGGCCATCGCGGAAGGTCAGATGGACGTCTCTAGTGCGTAATCACTTACCTGTCGATACCCAGGTGCTGTATCCGCTGCACCTGCAGCTTCCGGGCCCCACAGCCTAGGTACTGCCTGTGGCCCGTGGCTGGTTTTCTACTAAGAAGCGCTCAGGATTACGATGCGAGGCGGCGTTCTTGGGTGGACAGGCCAGCACTGCGCCAGTAGACACGGGGCAAGACACAAACGCACTTAAGGTGGTGAGGGGCTCTGCCGGGCGCAGAGTTCTGGACGGGTACCGCGGGAGCTGCGACCAGACAGTGCTCAAGGCGCACTCCTGAAGAGCAAACTTCTCTGCTTTGTAGTGTTCGCGTTTCTGCTGTCGACCACTGGTGCCTGGGAACCGGGAACCACACCTTAGCATCGTCACTGCTTCGCTTGTTTCTCCAGGAAACTGCAGCCAGGCGAACTCTTTAATTGTTCAGTAACGGAATTTCCCTGAGGACCCATCCATTCTTCAATGGAAAACACAATTTATACCCTAAGATTCTTTGAGTCCTTTAGCACAAAATCTTGCTGTTTGCACCAGTCCTGAAAACGCTGTTATGGAAGAACCACCTTAAATCAAACTTGCACTTCTCCATAAAATCTGACCTTGCCTTCCTGTTCTCAGCCACCGTGAAAGCTTTGCGAGGTCGCAATTTCCCTTATTGCCGCCAATAGTAAACTCAGTCTTGTCTTACCAATAAGTTGTGAAAGGACAAATACAAACTAAAATATGAGATAATTTTTCCTATTGAAAATTAATTTCTACCCCCTCAACCTTCTTTGAGCATTTACTTTATTACAACTGATAATTAAGTACTTTTTTCTCTTTGAAATGTGTATAAATCCTTCTGAAGACTGACTAGGCCTTTTCTAGGCTTTATGACTAGAACTACCTTCAACAACATACTGTATTCCTCAGCCATAACCTGTTTTCTGCAGGAGAAATGCAATCCCAAAGGTTTCTCCCTGCAAATAAGAACACAAGTAGGGCTGGAGTTGTGGCTCAGTGGCAGAGCGCTTGCCTTGCATGTGTGAGTTAATGGGTTCGATCCTTAGCACCACATAAAAATAAGTAAACAAAATTAAGATATTTTTATTTATACAAAATAAAGATATCCATGTGTAACTAAAATAATATTTTTAAAAAAGAAAAGGAAGAAGAACACAAGTTATCTGAACAGGGAACTTTTGTGACACTTATGCAGGCTAGATTCTAGGACTCAGGGAGATAGGGTAATTCAAAGCAAACCCTCCTTCTAAGAACAGCTTCCAATTAGAGATGTCAGTGGCCGGGATGGGGGTGAGGGGAATGAGGCAGGAGGGGTGACCGGGAGTTGCCTTGAGTCTTTACCATGGGGTAAAACAATGGGCAGTCCAGACTTGAAAGTCATGCAATACTATTAGTCAAAACTCAAGAGGTATAACTGGGAAGTAAGTACTCTCCGGAAACTTCCCTGGAAACCCCTAATAAAATAGGAGAACAGGAGGAGTTTGCTGTCTCTCTTCTCTAAGATGACCCACTCTCTCCCTTTCTCCTTTGAGAGTATTTCCTTTTTTCCTGATACTTTTCTGTATAACAGACTCATGCCTACTACTATGTACAAATTGCTTAAAATTCTGAAAGCTATATCCCAAGAACCAGTGGTTGCAGATCTTCATGGTCACTTCAGTCTGTGGGCAAATTCCCCTCTGTAACATTGATTTGCTGCTCAGGCTTACCCTGGGTGAAGCATTAATCCTGTCTCAGTCTCCTGGGACTACAGACACACCACCATACCTGGCTTCTAGCTTAATGTTTATTCAAAAATTTTAAAAGTATTTTCTTGTGTAGCTCAGAAATAGAGAGCACTTGCTAGCATGAACACCACCCTGGGTTCAAACTTTAGCACTGCAAAAATAAATAAATGAATATTTTTTTCCTCTCCTACCTGTGTGGGGAGGATTTCTGGGTTGGGAAAGTATGATTTTAACTATATTTCCCCATTAGGAATTAAGAGTCCACTTCAATAAATATTTGAAGGAAAAATAAGTGACAGGAGGCATCTTTGCTTAGGCAGATTCTCTTTATAGTATGTATTCCATGATTCCAGGAAATTGGAATAAATACACTTGTCTGTCACTGTGGCTCGAGCAGGCCTGGCCCAGAATTATTTTTTTTAATTTTGAGACTTTGGTCTTATAAAAAAGTAATCTGTACTAAGGCATACTGTGTTGCAGAGTGCTCACCTTGTCTTGTATTCAGTGCTCAGTGCTACAAATAACAACAAATAAACCAAAAACTGACCTACTTCCTTGCTTACTTCAGAGCTTTTTGGCCACTTATATATCCCCTTCGGAGAAATTACTATTCTAATCATTTGCCCATTGGGTTATCTTTTATTACTGAGTTGTGCAACTTTTTAATTTTTAAATTAAAAGTCCCTTTTAGGTGCTTGATTTATAAGTACAGTCATCCCTCAGCCATTTTGGGGGAAATTGGTTCCAGAAACCCTCATGGATAACAAAATCTGTGGATACCTCAGATAAGCTCCCTCATTTCATACCCATACCTTTCTCCCTCTCCTGCCCTGACTTCCCCATGAAATCTTTCCTGTTGCAGTCGTTCACTGCTCTCAGGAGGATGTTTTGATACCATCTATCTCCGTTTGTCTCTAAGTATCAACTCTTTCTGGAATTTAGGACTGCTGCTATTCATCTTCCTACTGAAGTCTACCACCTGCAAACACATCTCCTCCCTGCAACTGTCCCCAAACTAGTCCCCATTCTTGGGTTGACTATAATGAAAACAAAAACCAAAAAAGAAAAAAAAAAATTCATGCTTACAGTGGATAAGACATTATGCTACAGCATGTCAGTTCTCACAAAACTCTAGGAGGAAGAGGAGGCATATCTGGATTTTACATATGAGAAAGCAGAAAGCACAAAGAGATAAACAAACTCAGCCAAAATCACACAAAGAGCCAGTACAAAGCCAGGATTTAAAACTGCAGAGTGCCAGCTCTGCCCAGATCAGATCAGTTTTAGAGCCCAGAAAGAAAAAAAAAAAAACCTGTTGTCAGATAGGTTTAGAAAATTAAAAAAGAACTAAAAAGAAGGTCTTATCAAGTAACATAAATGTTCCATGTCTTCAGTTTGCAATAATTCTAAAAGTGATTTGGAAGACAGCTTGGTGCACAAATGGGGCCCCTTGCCTTTGCCTACCTACTTTGGTTCTTACTGGCTTGATTATACCATGGTTGTCTTTTACCTCTACACTCCCCTGGCCACTAGGCCACTAGGGTCTGGAAGTGGCTATGTGTCCCTGGGCACAGGCCATTTGCACATCCCATTTGAATGGCTCCTCTTCCATTCTGATCTTTCCTCTTCCCCGGATAATTCCTAAGTATGAGTTTAGTCTCCATCCAATTGTCTCCTCCCCAAGAAAGCTGACTCTAGCTCCCTTACTAGGATGGAATCCATATAGAAACTTCTTAAAATGAATGAATGAATAAATCAAAGAATGGTCACTCATCTTTCTTCTGCACAGGTCCCCAGGCTGCTGGTCTTCTAACTGCCATCAGGGTAAACAGTTTCCTGGGAACTTCACAAAAGTTGCCATGCAAGTCCCAGTCTTTTCCATCTTCTGAAACCTCCTCATTCCTTTGCCTGAATGCTGATTGATAACCTTGCCTCAGTATCTCTTGTGTTTTCAGCTGGAAATTATTATTTGTACTGGGGATTGCACCCTGGGGTGCTTTAATACTTAACTACATCCGAAGTCCTTTTTATTTAAGTTTTTAAATTTTCAGACAGGGTCTTACTAAGTTGCTGAGGGTCTTCCTTAGTTGCTAAGGCTGTCCTCAAACTTTGAGTTCTGCTAACTCAGCCTCCCAAATGGCAAGGATTATAGGCCTGTGTCACCAAGAGAACTATTCACATAAATGTCTGAATGAGGACTGCGGACACAGTTCAATGGTAAAGCATGTGCTTAGCCTGTCTGACATCCTGGATTCAATCCCCAGCATCCCCCTCTCCCAAAGTATGAAAGACTTCACTGATGATGGACTCCTATAAAAACAATGATAAACCAGTATCTACATCAAACAAAACAAAAAGAGAGAGAGAGTTAAACATAATGTTTGATGTTGAAGAACTAACACAAACAATGTGATTTCAGGGGCAGTTAGAAAAAACTTAAATACATAAGTGTGTATGTGTGTCCCTGTAACTGTCCCTACCCTTTTGCCATTCTGAAGAAGTAAATGGAAAGGGACAATTACATAGAGTTGTTCACTGCAGTGTGCTTTTTTTAGTGGAAACAGCTGAATAATTTATAATACTTCTATGCACTGGAAAATTATGTAACCCTAAAATAACGTTTTAAAAAAATGTTTAGTAGCTTGCAGAAATGCTCACCCTTTTACAAGTAAAGGCAGATGCACACTATATTACAAAGTTCTGATCTGATTTTTAAAAGGACTATACAAAGAGACTGGAAAGAAAACGTGTAACATATTCTTTACTACATCAATGACAAATGCAGAAA